AAGAGTCAGGAATCTTAGTCCTGAGGAAGATAGCGACACGAGTGATTGAGACATGAAATGAATCAATCAATCCATATGTCGCCTAGGGATATTTCTTCTTTTAGCGCCATCTGAATTGCTGAAGGCAAGTTAGATGGATGCTTGGAAGCATACAAGGTGGAGTATCGCGTGGGCGATAAAAGACTGGCCTCGATTCACTTCTTCCTTGGCGCGAATCGTTTCTTATTATCTTAATAAAAAATTTTGAGTTCGCGATAGGGAATAGAACGGGATGGGATGCAAGGGAGGGAAGGGAGGGTAAACGAATAGCATACTTACAGGGCATACACTATAAAATGGGTTATCTTTTTATATTGAAAAGGGCTCAGGGGGGTCTCGTATGACGAGATTGTCCCTTCTTGGGAGAGGGAGGCCGCCACCCTGGTCAGGGTGACGGCTGCCGCCTTGGCGGAGAGGGCCCAGCAGAACGAGGAGAAGGGTGAGCTAGCGGCCCTCCGTAGGGACTTAAAGTCCCTTGGGGACCGCAACGCGGACCTCCAAAAAGAGGTCCGTGAGCTTAGAGAGGAGCTGGAGGCGGTCAGACGCGCCAAGCCCTCCCTCCGATTGGCCCTCCCCGATGCGCCCGGGGGGTCCCCCCGCAAAAGGCGGGGGGTGCCCCGGGTTAAGTCGGTGGAGGTACTGGATGCTCCAGTGAGGGTGGAGCGTTCGGCTGGGGGGAGGGGACTTAGGTCCCCAACGGGTTCCGGGGGGGTTAAGGGACAGGGGTCCCCAACGTCTCCGGGGGGAGGGAGGGGATTTCGGTCCCCAATGTCGGCGGGTGGGCGGGGTAATGCGGCGATGAGGCCCCCTTTGGGGGGTACCTCTGCGCCGCTCCCCGAGGTCTACCCGCCGGGAGTGGTCGGCGAGGCTGAGCGCGCGTGGTATCGGTGGTACACCGATCAGATCGCCACCCTCGTCGACCTCAGGGCGGCAATAGGCCGGGGTGGGCCCTATGGACCCACCGCTGTGGCCAGCCGCCCATCTGGAAAGGCCTTCCCACCTCTCCCCCCTACCGATGCTTCCGCACCGGGTCAAGGGGGAAAGAGGAGGAAGAGGAAAAGAGGGCCTGTTGCGGGGGGGGAGGGGGGCGCAATGCCCCCCCTCCCCGACCCTCTGCTCCGCGAGGATCGCTGGCGGGGACCGGGGAGCGGGGGGGGTGCCCCCCTCCCAGCGACCCCCGACCGGTGAGACCATCGCGGGAGATCCCCCCTCCCCCCCACAGGTACCCGGCCAGGGTGAGCCCTGGTCTAAGGTGGTGGGGCGGAGGGAGAGGAAAGCTGGGGCGAGGGTCGCACAAGCGGCCCAACCCCCAGCCAAGAAGGGCGTTGCCGGGCGGGCGCCTCCCCCTCGACGAGCCGAGGAGACGCGCCGGGGGCGGCGACCTGGGGGACGCCGGGGGGGGGACTCCTCCAGGCGTAGGGTGCCCCGTTCGGCCGCGGTAACGATTACCTGCGCCGACGGGGCATACCAGGAGACGATGGCCGTGGCCCGGAGGGACGAGGGGTGGCTGCCAGCCGGGGGATGTCCGGGTCGGGGACATAAAGTTCCCGGCCCGAGGCATGGGCACCGTTTGGGTGCAATGCCCCCTGGCGGCGGCCAACAGAGTCTCGGCAGCGCGGGCCATCCAGATTGGATGGTCCCGCGCAATGGTGGAGCTGCTGGACAAGCGCCCCTTGCAGTGCTTTCGCTGCTTAGAAAGGGGCCACGTCCAGCAGCACTGCAGCAGCCCCATAGATCGAAGGGGCTGCTGCTACAGGTGTGGTGAGGCGGGGCATCTGGCCCGTGACTGCACGGGGCGGGCGAGATGCCCGATATGTGCCGGGCTCGGCCGCCCCGCTGACCATCGTGTGGGGAGTGCGAAGTGCACTCCCCCCAAGAAAAGGCCGGCACAAGGGAGGCGGATAACGCTTCCTTCTGCCGAAGGGTCTCGGCCAGTCAAACTGGCCGAGATCATGGAGGTAGAGCCTGACTCCCGCAAACGCGGGGCAGGCGACAACGGGGCCCCAGAAGAGGCCCCGAAAGAAAAAAGGCCCCCTAGGGCCACGGTGATGGCCATAACGCCTCCGACAACACTGTCGGAGGTTAAAATGGCCGATCTTGAGAGCCGCGACAAATAGCGGCCCTCAAGATCTTGCAGGCCAACCTGAACCACGCTCGCCGGGCGCAGGACCTATTCCTGCATAGCCTGGCTGAGCGTGGTTTCGGGTTGGGGATCGCGGCGGAGCCATATTACGTTCCGGGAGCCAGTCCATGTTGGATTGGTGACCGGACAGGCTCCGTCGCGATCACGTGGAGAAGCGACCCCGCACTCCCGCCTTGCACACCGGTCGAGGCCGGGGCGGGAGTGGTGGTGGTCAGGTGGGGGCCCATCTCGGTGCTGGGAGTTTACATCTCCCCGAGTGTGGGTCTCGCCCAGTTTGAGGCGTTTTTGGACGGGGTGTCGGCGTGTTTTCGCCGACAGATGCCCCGTCCAACCATCGTGGCCGGGGACTTCAACGCGAAATCGACGCGTTGGGGTTCCCGGTTCACGGACGCCAGGGGCGAGGCCCTACAGGATTGGGCGGCGGCACTCCTGTTGTGTTTGATTAATACAGGGTCGAGGAGCACCCTAGTGCGGTGGCAGGAGGAATCGGTCCCGGACATTACGTGGGCCACCTCCGCCGCACCGGATGATAGCTAGTTGGCGGGTGGCAGAGTGCGAGACGCTCTCTGACCACCTCTATATAGAGGTGGTCCTTAATGCCACCCGCCACGGGGTGCTCAGCCGCTCCCATGACCGGGGAGATGCCCGGCCGAGGAGATGGGCCCTTAAGAGGATGAGCCCGGACAGGCTGATCGCAGCCGTCCTTGCGGCCGACTGGCCGTGTCCCGGGGGAGAAGGGCGGGGGATCAATGAGGAAGTTGAATGGTTCCGGGGCGCACTTCGCGATGCGTGTGATTTCGCGATGCCCCGGAACAGCCCCCGCCCGCGGAGGGCGGCGTACTGGTGGTGCGAGGAGATCGCCGAGCTTAGGCGGCTCTCCGTCGCAGCCAGGCGCCGCTTCACCCGGGCCCGGCGTCGATCCGACGCCGAGAGGACGGCTGAGGCGTATGAGGGGTTCCGTGCCGCTCGGAACTCCCTCAGCGCCGCGATCAGGCGGGCCAAGGCCCGAGCGTGGGACGAACTCCTACGCTCCTTGGACGCAGACCCATGGGGGCGCCCTTATAAGCTTGTGATGAACAAGCTGAAGGCTTGGGCGCCCCCCGTGACGGAAACTCTGGAACCCCAAGTCCTCGAAGAGGTCCTGGGGGCCCTCTTTCCATCCGAGGGCCCCCCTTTCGACGCGGGTGGTCGCCAGGAGGCGACCATCCCGTGGTCAGAGGACTTGGAGGTTTCGGAGGAGGAGATGGCCGGTGTGATCCGTCGACTGAGGCCGGGTCTGGGTCCTAGCTTTGGCCCAACTGTCCGGGCGCCTGAGGCGGCTATTTAATAGCTGCCTCAGGGAGGGCGTATTCCCCCCAGCATGGGTGAGGGCTAGATTAGTCCTCATCCCAAAGGGGGGCAAGCCCAGCAACGCCCCTTCTGCATACAGGCCGATCTGCCTGTTGGACGAGGCGGGTAAACTCTTGGAGAGAGTGTTGGCGAACCGCCTCGTCCAACACCTGTCCCGAGGAGGAATGGACCTCCACCGTGACCAGTATGGATTCCGCGGGGGTCGATCGACCGTTGACGCGATCTTACGCGTCCGGTCCCTCGCGGAGTCCATTATGGAGGAGGGCAGGGTGGTGCTTGCGGTGTCGCTAGACATCCGCAATGCGTTTAACACCCTGCCCTGGAGTAGGGTGGGGGAGGCCGCAAACGCCTTTGGCCTCCCCCCCTACATGGTGGAGGTCCTACGGAGTTACTTCCGGGACAGGTGGCTGGAGTACCCCGATCACCGGGTACTCCTAAGCAGAAGGGGTGTATACTGTGGGGTTCCACAGGGGTCCGTGTTGGGCCCCACTCTGTGGAACCTCGCATATAACAAGGTGCTGGGTATTGCCCTCCCCCCCGGCTGCAGTGTCGTCTGTTACGCGGACGACACTCTGCTGTTGGCCGGGGGAGAGAGCTGGGGGGAAGCAGTTTCGGCTGCCAACGTGGGGGTAGCGTGCGCTGTCCGCGCGATCCGCGGCATGGGCCTGCAGGTAGCGCCTCATAAAACCGAGGCGCTATTCATGCACAGGGGGGAGCATGGGGCTCCCCCCACTGACGCCCATGTCGCGGTGGGTGACATCTCCGTCCGGGTGGGAGACAGGTTGAAGTACCTTGGTCTCTACCTGGACGCGGCCTGGAGCTTTGGCGGGCACTTTGAGCTTCTGGCCCCCAGGGCAGAGTCGGTGGCACTTAGCCTTGGCCGACTCTTGCCCAATCTTGGGGGTCCGGATGGCCGGGTGCGCCGCCTATATGCGAACACCGTCCGTGCGGTGGCCCTTTACGGGTCACCGGTGTGGGCGGACGCCCTGATGGCCAATAAGCGGGGCAGTATGTTGCTGCACCGCGTTTTTAGGAGGGTGGCCATCAGGGTAGTCCGAGGTTATAGGACGGTGTCGCACACGGCGGCCTCTTTATTGGCGGGAATGCCGCCCGTCGAGCTCTACGCGGACATGTACGCGCACGTGTACGCGCGTACGCGTGAGCTCGGCGGGCTTGGCATGGTTTTGACCCCACGGGTCAAGGCCGCTGTGAGGCTCCAGGCTAGACGGCGCGCTCTGGAGAGGTGGGACGAGCACCTCTCCAACCCCCGAGATACATCGGGGAGGCGCGTCGTCGAGGCCATCCGCCCCCGTTTGATCAAGTGGGTCGACCGGGCGGGTGGCGAGATGTCGTACCGTGTGACACAGGTGTTTACGGGTCATGGGTGTTTTGGCTCATACCTGTGTCGCATCGGGAAAGAGGACAGCGCACGCTGCCACCACTGTGCGGGGGGGGACGAGGACACGGCGCAGCACACGCTGGAGGTGTGCCCAGCGTGGGCAAACGAGCGCCGTGCCCTCGTCGATATAATAGGGGACACCGACTTCTCGCTCTCGAGCATCGTAGCGGCTATGCTCGAGAGCGAGGAGTCCTGGAGGGCGGTCTCCTCCTTCTGTGAAGCAGTGATGCTCCAGAAGGAGGAGGCCGAACGAGAGCGGGAGCGGCTCCCCGGTGGACGCCGGGGAGACCGCGCTCGAGAAGGGGCGACCGGAGGAGACGGGGGGGAAGGGCGGGAAGGGCCATACGGTAGGACCCGCCGACCCCCCACGACCTCCGGTAGCGGTGGCGCGGCGGCCAGCCGCGCCCCACGGACCCCCAGGGGTGGGTCGATGGGGGCCGGGGCGATATTAGCCCCTGGCCACTCCGGAGACCCGCCCCAGCAGAGGGGGGGCGCACGCAGGGGGAGGGGGCGGGGTCGCGATCGGACCCGGCCCCATCGAACTCCCCCAGCGATTGCGCAGGGCCCCGGCAACTTGGGGGGACGCCCGCTAACTCGTCGCGGGCGTCTCACCCCGAGCCGGGCCCGGTGGTCGGAGCCCAGGTGGGGTACCTGGGCCCGGCCACGCCTTCCCCGGGGATAATACTGGGAGGGAGACGAGAGGGGCGGTGGTCCCCCTCTCGCCAAGTCAAGCTGATGTCC